TAAGCACACGGGACAGGCGCAGGGTGGCAAAGCCTTAGACTTCTATGGGTGTGAGGTTGTTCTGAGGGACTCTTTGGTGGACATCATTTAGGTGGGGATTCATGTCCACCAATCACTTTTGGGGTGGTTTCCCCAAACAATCATGGCCATATTCCAACGCATTCCAAAAACCCGTCCATCCAGGTTCCTGACCTGGTGGTCATTCTGCTCAAGAATGTCAAGTGTTCAACGGAAAGCTGCTTCCGTTTTGATGCGGGAGGAATGCCACGCGCTTAGCTCCCACGAGGGCCAAGGCGCCCGAAAGGGGCCGACCGGGCCGACCGGAAGCTTTGGCGCTTTGACCTGAGAGCCACCTGGCGGATCTGCCAACCGCCGAAAACCGCCGAAAACCGCCGAAAACCGCCGAAAACGGGCGCCGGGCCCAAAGACTGGAGGTTCTGCAGACCTGGCTGGTTCGGGAGAGAAGCGCCAAGCGACAGCCTGGAGCCTCTGAATCGATGTGTGGATCCTTAGCAGTCTAGTCACTCACTCTCGGCTCAACCCGGTAGCACCTGTCTGACTTAGGAGAGTACTGCACCTCTGCCCATTCAAATCTAATCGCCGGCAAACGAATGCAGCCGTCAAGCCAATGGGTTCAAGTCGATCCGAATGGATCGAAACCTCCCGCCTTGAAGCCCTTGCCTGGGTCGCAAGGCAACCGGCTTTTGACTTTCTCATGATTTGCACGTGACGGAATCTAGGTCCTCCAGTAGAGAGGTTAGAATAAGGGCACCAACTTTTTCCTGCAGTCTATTTTAGTATGGGGAACCCTCCCAACCAAAAAAGAAGCGGTCAAAGGGCACTACTGGGGGACCTAGGAATTCCAAGGACCCGATGAGTCTGGGCTTGGGAAACGGAACTAGTGCAAACCTCCGAAGCTTTCGACTTCGAATTGGCCGGTGACTTCTGGCCCCCTGGCCATCCAGAAGCTGGCAAGCAAGCAGGCAGCCCCATGTCCACAGGCTGCATCAAGGTATGAGGGCGCCAAACGTGGCCACACCAAGGCGTTAGTCGCTCAGGAGCAAACTGCCCCAATTGCCAATTGCCAACAATGCTCTTGAACATGCCCCGCTACTGCAGCGTGGGAAGGATGTGAATATGTTGTAATTACTAGAAGCGAAGTAGGCGAACCGCAAGGGCAAAGTTGCTTGCCAAAGACATGGCAAAACCGTTGTAGCACCATGGCACGCATGAAGAGGTTGTGTTTGCACAGCGTGACAATCCAGCGGTTTCAGTGCAAGGCAAAGTAAGTGAACATACAAGCATCATACCAGCTTGTTCTTGCTCGTCGCCAGCAAGGCTGTTGATTGGACGGTTGCACCCGACCCGGATCGCCACATCGCAAGGAGATGTATGATCGATGAAGCCAACATGGAATTCGCTGTGGGCGGCTAACTTGTTCACCTTACAGCGGGCAAGAAAGTAAAAGGTGACAAGACCAAAGGGCACAAGGGTCAGCTTGAGCAAGAAACGCTTACTTCATGCTGCGCACTTGTTTTCAAGAATGAATGCAAGGAATGCTGAAGCCTACGGCAACTGCACTGAGCAACAGCTACGATTGGTTTGGGGTGGGTGGGTTCAGGGTCTAGGGTTGGTTTAGGCTTGGCTCCAGGTTGGTTCATAATGGGGGTGCTGGCGTTGCTTAAGGGTGGGTTCATGGTTGGTTTCAGGATGGTTTAGAGTTGTCTGGCGGCTACGTTTCTTTTGCGCGCCTTCGCTCAATCAGGAAACCAAGGAAACCAACTCAAGACCATCAAAATGCAAACAACAAGTACTCAAGGGTAGGACGGGTAGGACATGACAAGTGGTAAAACCGACCGGCAACAAGTAAACGGGGGAAGAAAAAAAAAAGCGGGGCTGTTTTTGGAACCACCCGGTAACCACCCCCATGGCCGTTTTTGGAACTTCCATGGCCCGGGCAAGTTGGGCAGACTCTGCAGGTTCTGGAGGCCCTGTGGGACTGACATGCCCAGGCTGGCGCCCTGCCGTCGGACGGAATGCAGCAGAAGGCTCAAGAATGATGGCCACCGGAAATTCACTGCTGGACTTTGCCAGGCCAATACTTCAATATGGCGTGTCTGACAGTAGGCCGTCTACTCCATATGTTTATATACATTATATATATATATATATATATATATGTCGCTCTCTCCCTGCTGTGGTTGAGAGGCTGCTGATGAACGCATGCAGCCCAGCAACACGCCAGGGACGGATGCTGTTTCCAATTAATCCTTGCAACCTCAGCTTACTTTGTTTTATCATCGGCGCAACCGCAAACTTGCGACAGGGGCGTTGATTGACATTGATTAGTTTAGGGCCTGTGGGGCTGAATCACACATCAGCAGTTGTTTTGGAGGAAGCCAGGCTGCACAGTACCAGTTGCACAAGCCAACAGTGTGAAATATAAGCGAGCCTGGGACCCTACCGATTGCTTGCAGGCTAAGAGAGTTGCTAACCCACTCGGGCAAATACTGGTGCCAAGCAATTCATGGATTGCTAATTGGGGGTCCGGTGGCCAACATGCCGCAAATACAAAATGGCATGTACCCGCTAGGCACCCCCCCTAGCCGCCCAGAGCTAAACAAATGCCAGCTTGGCCGGAAATTCCATGAGGTTGGGCACACCTGGCCGGCGCTGGCGCCATGTGACAAGTTTACTGCTGCATGCGGTCACTGCTTCGACAAGCAATTTGAACTCGACATTCATGCAAGTTGCCTTCAGCAAGCTGCCCAGGAAACACAACAAGTTGCCTGGTACGTCACCAGTTGCCTTCAGTCCGGTCTGCACGGGCCTGGCATCAAGCCGAAGTTGCTCGCACCTGGCGAGGCTGCGTCCAGACCATGGTTCATGTCTACCTCAAACCTCACACCTCGCAGTGGCAAGCGTGCGTCCAAGGCACGGCAAGCAATAAGTGGATCCATTGTCAAAATAGCCGCACCTGCTCTATGTTGAAAAGCCCTGCGCATTGATCATGACGATTGACATAGTCCCCTTCTGAACAAGGACTGCCAACCGGTGAAACTTGATCAAATGATGAAACTGATGATCATCACAACAAGCCTCACGAGCCAAGTGGCGGACAATAGCCACGTTCGTTGATCTTTCTGGGAAGGGTGACATCAACACTTCCCACCCAACCGCAGCAAACCCGGCCGCGAAGCCAGGTCGCGCTCTTCTCTTGGTGACTTGCACATTCTATGGGCACTCATTGGCCGGTGTTCGAGTCCCGGAATCATGGGTCTGGGCTTGCTTGCCCCAAAGTGCGGGTTGCAAGTATGTTCCCGTGCTACTTGCTCAGGATTCAGCCAACAAACAGGTCAAACTCATCTACGTCGCTCGCGGAGGGTTGGGCTTGCGCCTTGAAGAACTGCCTCTTTTTTTTTTTTTGCAAAGCAACAGCAAAGAACATATTTGCGGCATTGCAGTAGCCTGTGCTCAAATAGTGCTGGGCTCAAACAATGTCATGCGTGTGCGTGATTCTTTAACTTGCCTCTTGACTGTCTCAGACAGCTGAATTAGGCCTTATTGTGGCGCTGTGACAAATTGCTCCTCGGGGCATAGCAACACTTCAGCTACTCACTTTGTTCATTAGGCACGAACTGCAACCTGCACTCAGTGTCATGTTTCCGGGCGAGGCTGCAACACTCTGGGAGGCGTCCGTTGGCATGCGTTGCGAATTACCACGGCTGTCATGTGAGCCGCTAAAGCGAAAAAGGAGAAAATCAGTCCTCTGCTTGATAGCTTTGTTCAGGACTGTTCGCTCCATTGCACCTGCTGGCTAGGCCCAAGAACCGCGCCATTTCTCGATCCCCTGTCTTCCAAAGAGCTTTTTCAAATGTGTCTGCAAAACACTCGGACTAGCAGCGGTGCCCATGCGACCTGCAGAACTGCAGGATCAATTCTTGTCCCGAACCTTGGCATCGCTGCCAAGGGGAAAACACACGGCTACGCAGCCCTCAGCGCTTGGCAACCTGCACGACAATTGGCGATCTGTGCAATTGTCCTGGTGGCTTGGTGCTTCAGTCTGGGGAGCAACACAGCTGGTCATGCGAGCCGCAAATTTCACGAATCCAGTTGCGGCTGGTGCAATGAGCGTCGGATAGAGTAGAGTAAATGGGAGGGATTCCAAGTTTGGACGGCATCCTGAAACGCGCAAAGGCAAGGAGTACAAGCCTTTTCTCTCCCTGTGGCAAGGCACGCAGGTGCTAAACCAATTGTGAACAGTCCTGGCCTGGCAAACTGCAGCGTTAAACCATACCGAAAATGGCAGAGAGCCAGTAGGAGATCATAAATCAGTGCTTTTCAGAAAGCCCCTTGTTCGAAGCCGGAGAAGGGGACAGCCCATTTGGACAAGCAAGGACAGAATTCCACTCGACTGATCCTGACCCCCAGGTCTGTTCTGACCCTCCCAGTTTCTTTGGGTCGTTTCGCTGATCTCTACCTCTTGTGACAGGCGCATTGTTGCCATCTCCTGAGCCTGAGATGGCAAAAGAGAAGCTCGCCTCTGAGACTAGGAGCACAACAGAAAACATGCCGTCCCAGGGTTTGATGCACTCGTGACTGAACAATATCCGGTGCGTGCCCTCTGCTTCACGCTGATTACCATCTCCTAGGAGCAAACACCAGCTGGCTTGCGGCTAGTTTCTGTAATGTAGGTTTGCTGAAATTTCTTGGACGATGCGGGGGTTGGGCAGGGAACATCTGACAGGTTGCCAACATGAACTTGCCCGAAGAACTCATGTGATCCTGTGCAACATCTAGCGGCGGGCTGATCATCAGAACACTCATAGAACAACCTCTGGGAAAGGGATGGGTTGCAAAATCCGCAACCACCTGGAGCGCCCTTCGTTACCTAAATTTCTGCCCTTAGCCCAAACGTATTGCAAAACCAGGGTTGTTTTTCTCGTACCTAAAAAAAAGGCACGTTGGGTGCCTCCAGCAGAATTCAGTCACCCAAGTCGCTAGCTGATGGAGCACCAGTCGTCGTCATCATCCATGTCACCTCGCAGCTGGGGCGGTCAGCAAATTCCCAAGCTGGAAGAGCAATCTGAAATGAAACTGTGAAAAACAACCGTATCGGCAAAACCAAACCGTACACATTCAAGTCCGATGGCTAGATTGACATGATAATTAATTGGCATATGTCCTGTTGCCATAGCTAAGGCTCGCTTCCTTCGACGAAAGCCTGGCGGGGTCATCTCCCCATCGTACTCCTGCAGCCTCAGCAATCCATGCAAGAGGTTGCATTGCAAACCTCTTGCGGACTTGACAGTGACTTGGTTGCTGTTGACCCCCTGCCAAAAGTTTTCAACTTTTGGGGGGTGTAGTGGAAAACCCCAAATGATGTCCCAAAAAGTTAAAGTCTCAAGATCCAACCCAATAGCAGTCAAGGCGACAAAAACGGAACCGCCAGCGCCCCTAGAAGCCGACGCCGCTTGCGAGACCTGAACAAGAATTGCGCGTCTGCTGGCCAGTCGCTCATTCTCATCGTCGCACCCCACGCGGCAGCGCCAGAAGTTGGTCCACTTTGGCCGCTCCACAGGGGCATACAGCTTTTGATGTGCCTCCTCGGAGGCTCATCTGCCAATCGCAAATCCACAGCCATTTGAAGCCAAAAAGACATAAACAGTGAAGACGTCTTGTGAAGCCTATGCGCAAGCTCCAAGATTGCGACTACAGTAATCTGGCTACTCCTGGCAAGTTTTTGTTTGCGCCCCAGTCAGAGGTAAAATTATTATTGACATTCTATGCACTCCGAGCCGCTGTCCATTCAATAATCTCAGCAACAACGCAGGACGTATCGTCCATCTTGCCGCCCCGACCAATCCTGAGCGCAAATTCTAAGTACCCTGCCTTCCAAGCCCATTCCCAGCGCATATCATGTCGAAGCATACTGGACAAACAGCTGAGGGCGGTACTTCCATAAATTGACCGCAACTGATGAGTTAAACTAGAAATTAAACCTTTCAGCACCAGTCAACAAACGTATAAAGTCTGCTTTTTCAACAGCTCCCTGCGGCTTGTTCAACCCTTGCATCGCATCCAACCCAAGCAATTGGCAACATGACCCAGCTTGACAAACATAACTACGCAGGTGAAATAGCTCGCGAGCCCGCCCGTCAGCTGTGCATGCCCCCTGCAGCACAGCGTCGGCGCCTCTGGAAGAAATCCGCCAGCTGTGGGCTGGGTCTTCATGTGGGCAGCCTCGCGAAGCTCAGGCGGCCACGCCCACAAGCCGGAACTAGTTGCTGCCGACTTCTACGCTTCAGTCGAAAGCTCGCACCCAGGAGAAGAACCAACTTGATTGAATGGCCAAAGGCCATATCCGCCATATCCCTCGTGAAGCTCACACCAGCGGACTCCTCAAAGGTCTTTGGGAGCTAGCTGCTTGATGTACCTAGGGTGCCCTCATGAACGTGACGCTGGCCTCCACGATGCGCTTGGACAAATGAGTGAGCATGGAGGAGTGGATAGGTCGCCTCGCTGTCAAGTGCTATGATGCTTGCGCATTTGCCCTTCCACTCCACCTCCCCCCAATCTCAGCCAAAAACGCACATCTGTCAAGGGCACGAAATCAAACACCTGGATGTGCTAAGGCCGCGCTTCCCCTACAATGTACTCCTTTTGGTGAACATCAACTGAGTCAATGCAAGCTTGCTTGGTGTGAGCGAAGCCTACCCCTTGGGCGGTTTGAAGTCCTTGCAGTTTGCGCTGCGCTCTTGGTCTCCACATGGGTGTGGCTCAAAATTAAACAGGAGGGGTTACGCAGGTGTTGGTCCATGTTTCCCCTTACCATGTGGCCCTCGATGCACCTCAACCCAACCCTCAAACAGTGCTCACTCGGCAAAGCCGCTGCGGAGACGACCCGGGCGGCAGCACCGTGTTTGCGATAGCGGTCACTTCGTCCTTAGACGACAATCGCCCATACTCACTTGGCTGTGGGTCAAAACCAATGGGATCCCATTTTGGGGTAGGTGCACCACCCATTTTAGTCTATTTTAGTGGGGATTGGGATGTTCACTGGGGGTTCGGGATTTTGACCCATGGCCACTTGACCAACTTCAGCAGAGCTGCGCTACACATCTTACACCTGCATGCATAATATGGGTTTAGTCTTGCTCGCGGCTGGGTGACGCACCAATGCACTCGCATTGTCGACGGCCAAAGATCCCTCTCTGGAGCTATCACAGGGGTCAATATCTTATGAGGTGCTGTGCTCCCATGAATCACAAACAGGAAGATGCGGAAGCAGATTCCCCTCCTCCATCTACGGAGGATGCCCTAAATATTGCAAGCAGCGAACAGGCAAAACCCTGCAAATTCCCATGGTTTGCCGGTTTACTTGCAATATTTAGGGCATCCACCATAGCAAAAACTCGTGCAGCCAAGGCCAAGGCGCTAGGTAAAGGTTGTCAAAAACGCCATCTGAGCCCACCAAAACGATGTCGCCTTCCTGAGGCTCACGGTGACATGTTTATCCACGGGATCCATTTGAAGGCATTGAGTGAGAACAAGACGAACTGCCGTAGAAAGTTTAGATCAGTGCAGGAGAGGGGTGGCAAGCGATGGCTATGACACTGCAGCTCGGTCAAGAGACCTGCTGTACTGGCAGCTTGCGCGGAGTGCCAAATCAGGGGCCGAGGAATCAGCTATAGGATATCTTTCAGACACAAGCCAAAAATTGTGTTAGCATAAAACATCAGTGGTCTTAAACGCTTGGTTGAGAAGCTAGCAGCTAGCCGAGTCCATGTTCGGGCCAAGAACATGCCGCAAAATGTGCTGAAACCGGCTGTGAGGCCGAGGGGCGTAAGCTGAGATACAATGCACCGCGCTGCCGCGCTCGATCACCTCCACAGTGATGCTGTCCTCAGGGTTCAAATGCCTTGCCTCGAAACCATGTGTGTGGCTGTGGCTCAACAACATGTACCAAAATAGAACCTTGGCAAGTGCCACCAAAGACTAAAACACGCGTAACCCTAGCTCTTGAATGTTGAGCCACACCCAGTATACGATTTCCTCCCAGGTTGTCACCCGTGGCAACAGCTGTGCTTCTCTTAGGTCCAAGGGCATGCTTGCACTTGTAGGATTGGCCTTCATGGAAGCCATCTTTACGATGACATGTCAGCTTTATGTAGGTGCCGCTTGCTCCCGGCGTGGCACAAGTGCGCTCAAATCGCGGAATGCCACGCTGGCACAACAAGCACTGGCCTTCTGCCGATGGGCAATCTAGTGGGTGACATGCTTCAGAAGATGAAGCTGGTGAAGAATATTGCCAAGGCGCATCGAAATTTGCATCAATGCGGTCATCCACCCTGGCCAACCTGAGGCACACGATCAACGATTAGCAACTTGGGTGGCTGGATGGCAATGGCCAAACGCTTGAAGGCTCAAGTCCGGTGAGCGGGGGGGGGGGGAACACACACACACACACACACACACACGAACAAGTTCACACACAGCCACAGACGCAGAGACACTGAGACACAGCGACACAGAGACACAGCGACACACACAAACACAAAGACACACACACAACACAAGCACACAAAAACACACAACACACACACACACACACACACACCACCCACCCACCCACCCACCACGCACGCACGCACGCACGCCACCCACGCACGCACGCACGCACGCACGCACGCACGCACGCACGCACGCACGCACGCACGCACGCACGCACGCACGCACGCACGCACGCACGCGCGCGCGCGCACACACACACACACACAACACACACACACACACACACACATCACCAGACAGCGACGACCGTCCGAGCAGCTCCCAGCCACACTTGTGCCACCAGAATGCTACTGGCGCACGGACGAGGGGCTGCCCCTCCACGTGGTCAAGTGTTGTCAACGGCCCTGAATCGTCATGGTCAGGAGTATCAGCCCCCCTCGCCCCCTGATTCCTGTGGTGGTGTTCCGTGGTGTTGGCGGTCTTGGTTGGTTTTAGGGTTGGTTTAGGGCGCGGGGACCATACCGTTGGGGGAGGGCCTTCAACACGGCACCACGAGACCGTATTGACCAAGCCACTGCAAAGGTGTCTGGCAATGTCCATCTACACGCTGCATCTCAGTGTGAAACACAAGCTCCAGTGGCCCTTGCCGTCCCTGCAGCCGTCGCCTTGGTTGCAAATGTTGAGGGCAAGTGGTTTTCTTTGTTTGGTTGAGTTCTCTTCTCTCATGTTTACTCTCTCTCTCTCTCTCTCTGTCTCTCGCACTCCCTGGTAGGCCTCCACAGCCTATCTGCAACCTCGCAGCTTCGCTCAAGTCTGGCTCAGCCTTTTCAAATGGGTGTCATAGAAACCAGCAAGAAACAAAAACAACTACAGAAAGTCGGCCACAAAAAAGAAATCAGATGGGCAGCCCAATCACTTGTAGAATCTCTCACTTCCTTCGTGGATAGGCCAAAAACCAATCCACACTTGTTGTTTACCGCTAAAATGCTACTCCCGAAGAAAACAAAAAAAGGGGGGCGGGAACTCAGGGAGTCAGAATTTTCCTGGAGCGAGTTTCTTCTGTGCCCCTTCGCCGGGCTGCAGGATCACGAGCTCGCAATCCCCGATGGAGATGACCTCCGGGCAAACAAAAATGCACTCCGAATGGAAGGCTGGGACTCGGCTTTTGTGCAAAAAAAAACTTGCGCCTGCACGCCTTTGCTTCAGATGGAAAAAAGCAGCACCGTGAGCAGACTCTATGCAAGTGGGGAGGGTTGGCAGCCCAGGCGCGGCAATCATGGGATGCAGCTTGCCATGGATCTTAGTGGAGTTGTCCAGCAATGCCTCGGGCCAAGCTTCAAACACCCCGCTTTGTCAACTGCATTTGCCCGGTCGCCCCTGAAAGCTCGCTCGCATATTGCAAAGGCACAATCAAAAGGATCGCCATCGCACCCTCAAGTTCTATGGCGACTCCCCAGCGCGTGTCCATCTTCAAATGGAATGGACGAAACGCACACAGAACCAACTTTTCCGCCCTAGGGCTGAAGGGAAACCTCTGCAGCTTGGATGCCAGCACCAGGGTTGTGGACCCAAGGCACCTGAGCCACAGCAAATAAGCAAAGCCTCGCTTCAAAGGTGGATTCCAAAAGATGGCATATGGGCCCTACAACTTTGAGCAACACAGCTCAAACCCTGGATTTGTTCCAACTGGGCATCCTTTCACCTTGGATTGTTCCTCCTCCTGTCAAATTTTGTTTGCCATGCATTTCTTTCCACCTTGAGGCCCCCCTCAACACCCCCCCTAGCATATCCTCCTCCTCTCCAAAGGTCCTGAGCATGCGGATTCTACGTGGCAGCTCGCCCGGGGCAAAAGAGCCCCCTCGGCTCGGGATTTAGATCACATGGCGGGCCTTGGGCCGACTTGAAGTTGTTAGGTTATGTGCAGAAAGCGAAGGCGAGGTTGAGCACAAGAAATCCACTTGCCGGTGCAGCAATCGTGAGGCCACAAGGATAAGTAGCAAGCAAGAAAGCGCATCAAGTCATGACAATGAAGCGCTCCATAACTTTAATACGCATCAAAACAAAGCCCTTGATCAATGCTGTTGAGTGATGCATGGGGGGAACCACATTCCAACGTAAGCAACTGCAGAGCGTGGAGGTCCGCCAGTTCTCTGCCCGCTGCCGCTAGGTTCTCCCGGACATTTTGCTCCGGGGCGCTCAGTTCTGCTGAAAGCCTCCCGCACCAAAGGGATTGGCCCGTGGTACTTGGCCTCAGGCTTATCACACGCCAGCGTGAAGGAGACATTGGCAAGAGAAGCGGCGGTCAGTTGGCAGTGGGTCACAAATAGGGCAACTCCAACATGGATCCCTGGTAAATGGCACCAGGGACTCAAACCACCGGACCATATCCTGGTGGTTTAATCTTGACCCATACCCATTTCCCTGCAAACAGATAAAAGCATGCTCTGGGACCTGGTGTCTCTCACTTGATGGCCAAGGCGCAGCTTCCTTCCCTGGCAGAAGCTGCTGAAATGCCAAATCCTCACTTTCCCGCAGCAGCTCAGTTGGCCTTGGCTGAGGCCATAGCACGACCAACTGCAAACACTTTGCCCAAACTGGATGGCATTTTGGAGCATAATGTGCTGGGCTGTCCAAACTGATCCCCTGCTAAAAGTGTCTAGCTTTGGTGGGTTAAATGGAAACCCCAACCCTAACAAGCTAAAATGCCAAACGAATGGCTGAGAGCCACCAAGTCTGTGGGTCTGATGTGGGTGCTTCTTAAACTAGGGGCCCCATGGTTGGGTTGCTTTTGTTTCCCCTTGCCACTGCAAAGCCCTGCCCCAAAATTTGCTGGGACTAAGTCCAAGGGTCAGCTGCGAGGAATCAATGCCATACTCCTCGATCTGGGACACTCCATCTGCCACGCCCACCTACGTGTGCCACTTGGATGAGGCTGAGGCCTGAAAAGAGAAAACGAGCTCCAAGAGGCGCCTGCCTAAATGCAAGGCAAGTATGGTGCTGCTGTTGAGCAAAGTCGATAATTACCAAAGCGAGTTGCTTTGGAAGCGCGGGCAAGAAGTGCCTCGCCACCCAAGGAACAGAAAAGGCAGAATGAGCAACAAGCAACAAGCAAGCTGCGAGTTCCTTGGATAATGCGCCCACGCAGTGGCTGAGTAGCGTGCGTATTGTACTACACAATGGAGAAAGCGACACGGCAGGAGACATCTGCAAATAGTGAATGACTGTTTGTGGGTTCAATGGGAAACCCTTGATTTCCTACAGAATGCAGGATCCAACCCATAGCTATCAAGATGGAGATTTCTCAAACTTAGAGACCCTGAAAATCACTGCCACGTCCTTAACCAGAACTTCGATCGGGTGTCCACCAATAAAAAACACCGCGAGGCCGAGGCACCACCATGGGTGAGACCAGCGTGGCATCCGCATCGCGGTGGCCCATGCGAGCTTTCGCAGGATGGGTGCGTTGGTGTGCCGACGCGTTGAAGCCTCAGCACTTGCGCGCTAGCCACAAATCGAATCGACCAAATGATGCAGCCCTGCTCTTGAAGCGCATGCTGATGGGAATGTCCAGCCTCCTGTTCCTGGCCAGAGAAAGCCAATACTGAGGATTTAAGCCGTTGTTGAGCAACGTGCTGCTCTCTCTCTCTCTTTCTCGCCCCGTATCTCGCGCGCGGGCAAGGCCTGCAGGGCCAAAGGGAAAACGTTCTCACTGACTTGATTTAGAATAATGAGACACTATGGGCACGGCTTTTGGGCCAAGGCACAAAGAGCTTTGTTCTTGTAATACGCCTCTGCCAGCTGCTGATCTCGCCTTTGGAAAGCTTCTAAGTCCTTCTTCTGCTTCTCCTGCCAGCAGACCGCCAAATCTGGAAATCTGAGAGGGAAACCAAAGGCTCAATGGATTCAGCTCCAAATGCGCAAAGGGGAACGCAGCGTGAGAAATTGCCCCCTGGATCCACAAGACTCAAAAAACGGACTGGCTGACCGGCGAACGGCATGGTCACAAGTGTCAACCTTGGGTTGTCTTGAAACGGGTTGATTCCCCATTCTTTTCAACCAGCGTTCTTTTCAACAACCAGTGGTTTTCCCCTTTGAACAGCATCACTTGCCCAATATCGACAAGTATGTTGACCCATTATAGACGGGCTCAAGTTCAATGTGATCAATAGTGGGACTGCTGGCATTGCAGGCCATTGCTGAATTTGCGACCGGCTTGTGCAGCCGGCAAACAAGGAGATGAGCAGCGCCCAAAACCTATTGACTTTTGGCTTGATCAGCATTGCCTGAGAGTGATATTTAGGCCCTTACACAAGCCCCATATCGCCAGGGAGTAGAACTATCTACTAAAATGGGCCTTGCTTGGGCTGGGCGCTGATCAAATGTTTGGAAGGCGCCCTTTGAGGGTCGGCGATGAATGCTTGTCAGTTGCGTGCGGTTATGTTGTAACCCCAACCGCGAGGAAAAAGCGAGCCTAATACAATGATGACATTGAACCGCTGACATCAACATGCTCTGCTAGGCAGCATCTTTTAATTATCCGCTCTTGGTCTTCCTTCGGCAGCATTGACAATGTGCAAATTTCAGCGAGGTCCTTTACGGAAGATGCTGAACACTGAAACACCCCGAATTGCCTTGCAACAGCATGAGCGGCTGCAAGTGCATGCGAGACGCAGCACCCACGAAGAAGGTGGGCGACCTCTGAACTCCGTCCCGACGCGGCATTGCCTTGGAGTTGCATTCAACCGGGGAAAAAGGCGAAGCTGTGCCTGATTGCATTGCCTTGAGATTCATGGTGCCTGCTTTATCATGGCGCAACATGCAGTATTCGGTGCTCGCGCTTGCGACCGCTTGCCAATATGGTTCCGACCCTTGAGACATGGCTTGCCAATGCGATGACTAGTTGTACTGCACGTAACTGCAGCAGAAAATCAATCATAGTGGCACAGTGGCCCATCACAACCTTTCAACAGAACACCTTTAGTTGGACGTACAAAGGCACAGGCAGGTTTGGGTACACCCTTTGGCAGAGACGCAAGGCCTAATCATCTTCTCTGCCTTACATGCTGCTGCCTGGATTGGCAAGCCAAAGTTTCCTTATTGCAGACCACATGCATTGCATTTGAATTGTGCAAAAAATGCGTTCGAATGTGCAGCAAGCTAATCGCAGAACAAATGCCACTCCCTTTCCGCGCATGCAATCATGCTTTCCCTCCCTTTCATCTCGATTCGCTGGCAAGGCACCTTGGCAGACATGCTGGCAATGCTGAGCGGTTTTGTAAAAGAAGGCTGATCTGTGAGGACATGAATGTGCTGCAATTGGACTTGCTGCCTCCAAGATTGATGCACATCAGGGATTGAGCATCCAATTCGTTGGTCCTCTATGCTTTGCCAGGAACCTTGTTTTCCATTGTCTGCCTGGGACTTTGTGTGAGCGCTGCAACTGGGCTATAATATGCTCCTGAGGCAATATCAGGCAAATGCTGCAATTCAATGCTACCCGTGCATGTCCTGTCCATCCGCAGGCCGCGCGTCCTAATCTGTAATCCCTATGTGGGCCACACGTGAGGCGCGTGCAAGGTCTTGAGCACTGATGATGCCTGGGCTGTCCTCAGATCCCCTTCTAAAAGTTTACCTTGTAGTGGAACCAATGGAAATCCTGTTGGAGGCTATAAACCGTGCTCAAAAAGCAAATGATGTGGGAAATTGCACTGCATGATCCAAATATGGAGACGCGCTAGGCTACCGCAAGCTCGAACAGCACCACACCTTTAGAACCAGGCTGCAACCTCCAAACGACAACCGCCAACCAATTTCCGAACACCTCCGACCACCTTCCAACCACCTCCCGCCCACCTCCCGACCACTCCGACCATCTCCCGACCACCTCCCGACCAGCTTCCGACCACCTCCGACCAACTTCCGACCACCTTCCGACCATCTCCGACCAGCCTTCCAACCACCCAAGGCCACACTGACGGGAACAGGCCCAAAACAAATTGCGCGGCTTGGGGCTACATTTTAGGAAAAGCGGGATTGATCTTCCTAGTAAGCTTTTTTGGAAATCCAACAGGAAATCCCCACTAAACACAAAAAAGCGGGAAACCCGGATGGCTGGGAACCACCATTTGATGCGAAACAGCTGTGCTGCACACCGTGCAGCCAAAGCTAGCAGGATCACATGTGAATAATAGTCACACAGGTGAACGGTACCACATCGTGGCAACAACTTTTTGGCTGCTCCAAGACAAGGCAACAAACCCAATGTCAATGGGTTCTAGGCAGGAATATTTTTCCCAGTGATCAGTGATTGGGGCGGGGGGTTTTGCTTTTGCCTAGATTCTGCACAACTCACGCGTTGAACGCATGCACTGTCTTGCCTCCATCTGCGACACATCTATGATGCCGCTCTCATGTCATCATCCACTTTGCAATCAGTGATCTCTGCAAATCTCGTGTCAAACGGGATGTGCCAACATCTCCAAAGGATGAAGACATGCAATCTGAGGACAGCTTTTGGAGGAGCAAGTGCCACAGAAACTGCGCTTATGGACTGTGCCCCTGCCTCCCATACCAAGCTGTGGTTGCAGCTGAGGTTGGGGAACCTGGCAGTGCCGAAAAGCGCTGGAACCATGTTCATCCCCCAGGGCTGGCACATAGAATCCCCCCTCAACTTCAAGGTCTTATCACAAAAGACCTTGCTCGTGGCAAGGGTATTGTATGGTGTGGCTGCTGCGCTTGGTCTTGACGCCATGTTTTACATGTAAGACGCGCAGAAACGGCATCGGTAAGGTTTTTACTTGGTGTGCTGTACTTGTTTGGCTCAGAATGGGTTCCTGAGCCAGTTGCCTCGATGATTCTGAGGTCTTTGGATAAGCAAATCGTAGTGGCACACACAGGGAAAGACAATACTTTTGGAATGCGCCACAAGGAGCTCGCCGTAACCGTGGCCTGCTGCGGTTTCCAAGCAAGAGGCTTTGGGGTGCGCCGTTTTCAATCTCGACACCAGCCATTGACAGAAACATGGGCCCTGCCCTGTTCACCTCGTGGCACAACATGTGAGCGCGCAAGTCATTAAAACCCCCTTCCCAGATCGTGCCAAGTGCCACACTTCCAGTGACGCCAGTGGCCAACTACAAAAAAAGGGGGAGCATGTCCATGTCGGGCAAGGGCCTGCTGCTGGCTTGGCGTTGGCATCGGGGCTTGCCTTAGAGGCCTCAGACCAGTTGAGTCGAGCTGCAAAACTTGGTGTAAACCTGACTTCATGCTGGGCTGCTAGGGGAGAAGCTGGGGCGAAGCTCTCGGCTCTGGCGATGCATGCTAACTTCAGTGCGATGCTGAACAACTGAATGGCATGCGAGCGAGGGTGCTTCACATTTCAATAAAATGATTCGACTTGTTTTACGTGGTGACAGCACAGCAAACACACACACACACCATTGCTAGCAGCCTTCAGTTAGAACCCAGCACAGCGGCTACGGTCCTGTTTCATCCCTGCTTGTTCAGTCACTTTCTTCATTGCAACGTGCATAATATCTAAAAAGCAATGCCAGCCCATCCCAATGGATGGGCTGCTGCAGTGCAAGCTCAACGAACGGCGCATGGCTTCTTGGTCCACGGCTGAGATTGCCCGGGCCCACCACCTGCAAAGCATTTGAAACCCTCAAAACTCCAGAAACAAAATCAGAACAGAACATGCGCACCACCTTCGGACATTGCACGATATGTTTCTTAGAAGAAAACAACAATCCATGAGTTGCATCCAACCCGCAAATTACTAAATCATTTCGGGAATCGTGTGAGGCGGTAAGCCACCTATCCTACCGTTGCTTGCGCACCAATGGCCCACGGCTACCGAATCCAAAGGCAAAAAACACAGAGCTGAGCTTGCGCAGAACTGAGTCATGTTGGGCTCTGTGGAAGCCAGAATCAGAAAGACGCCAGGATGCAGTATGGGCGTCCTGTCAAACAGCAATGTTGCACATACAAACGCAACAGGTGACCAGAAATATGATGCCCGCAGTCACGCATGTTCAATCCCAAACAACAATATAGAACCAAACTTGAAACAGCTTGAGCCTAACGCATCTTCTTGAGTGCACCTCTATACTGCTAGACCGATCTACGCCCCTCGCCTAGCGCTCCGCGGTCGGGTCCTGACAGGGAACTTGCCTTTCATGGGGTCCGGCAAATGATTTGTCAGTCAACTTGGAGCTACCAGAAGCGCCAAAAGAAACACAGAAAACGACACCAAAGCACCAACGCATCACTGCACCGAGTCTGCAAAGTTGAAAGTGGAGGCACTGTGCCCGGTTGTGATGCCGAGCAACGCTGCAGGACCACCCCAATGCGGCGTGTCTTTCTCCCTCCCTGTCATGAAATAGCATAAATAATGGCCTATCTTCATGTCAAATTAAGCGGTACGTCCCGAGCCAGTATGCCAAAACAGCCATGGATTATGCTTCATATGCTTCTGGAACAGATCTTGGTATGGGCAGCTAGTGCAGCTGAGCTTTGAACAATTTCAGCGAGCTCCTTAATACCACACACCGGGCTGCCACTGTCAGACCACAAGACAGGCGAAGTACGTGCAAAGCAAGCAGAGTACGATCGCTTCAGACATGCAACAAAAATCCCCAACCCTCTGTCTTGAAAAGAACGTCGTTCAACACTCCTCACTCCAGAGGCAGGGCCTTTCGATTCAACAGCACCTCCCCGATGCTCTCAGCCCAGCTCGTGCCTCCAGATGGCTTGCCACGGCCTTTTCCGCCGTCGCGGTCTGGCGGGGCAACGACATCTGCTGCCGCCACGAAAAGGTATCGACCCAAATCAGCTGGTGGCCGTCGTGCAGAGGCGAATGACTCCTGAATGAATGCTCCTGACCTTCTTGAGGCAAAGCTGTCGCCAGTTGCATTTCTAGGTCCTCCAGTAGAGAGGATAGAATAAGGGAACCCTCTTTTAGTAAGGGAACCCTCCCCCAAAAAAGGATTTGTTCAACACCTGTTCCGCGGTTTGTTGTTTAATGCGCTTACCTTGTAAAACTATGCTGAGTCCCCCTCAATGGGCTCAGCAAGCCTCATCAAAGGTTGCCAAGGCCTTTTTGGTAAGGGGGCCCCTTGGGGGGGAAATCTATGGTCTCATGATTGCCTGCTGCAGACGCGTCACGTGGCATGAGCATGGGGACAAAAAAACATCGAAGCAGTTATGTTTCCTCCAGAGAAGAAAGCAGCCAGCTGTCACCGATTTGCCAACTGCATTGGCACAGCTGTGCCGGCTCTCTGCTCCAACAAAACGTGGATGAGCCAACATAGATGTATTTCATCTCGTGGCCTGTTTGTGCTACATCATGTGGACGCTCAGAACGATTTAGGGGCCTCCTACTAGGGGAAGGAGCAGCCTGACGGCAAGAGCAGGGGAAGGGACTCACCGAGCGTGCAGAATCGCCTGGTTATTGATCGGGGGTCCTTGAGAAAAAGTGTTTTGCCAGAAAAGATGATGCGCTGGCTGGGAAGACGCGAAACTTTTGGAGCCTTGGAACCACTTTACCTCGCCAGCATATCAAATGGTGAAGCTGTGACAAGCAAGCAATGGCGCAAAAACCAAACGGCTAATAAACAGGCGACTGGTCACAAGGTTGTCTTGAGTTCCATGTCCTCAACGGCCGGCACAGCTGTATCATGCTGAGAATGGGCAGACACGCATCATGCAATGAGTGTCCAGTCGTA